ACGGGGATTAACTACCGCATAGTATACCATTATACCCGTGTCCAAGACTTAGACCCTTCAAAAAAAAGATCTTGAAAAAGATTTCTGAGCTGACGGACTGTTTATCGCCAGAGTTAGTCTAGTATAATAATTATTACGTTGCCTTTAAAAAGCTGGTTAGATCACAACTATGAAGTAACAAACAATCAAACAAGCAAAATAAAAACAAGTGGTTGCGTTTCCAAGTTATGATATCGACTACTTTCGTTTAATGATAAGCCAAAGGTGACAAACGGCCATAAAGGCGCTCCTTCTTAAGATTTAAATCAAGTTGTGCTCATACGCCGGAAGGCTTTAGAAACTTCAATAAGCCTGTTTCCTCAATCCGAATTACGGGGGATAGATACCGGCTTTATCTGATCTTGAACAGTGTCTGTTTATGGCCGATACGATCATGGATCGCTAGAGGAGGTACAGTTTGTCATTCCAAAGACCACTTTTATCTTATATACCTTTGTTCCTTTTTAATTATTTGTACCTGCTCTCTATCATAACTATTCCACCTTCTAATGTTCTCACTTTGCAAATTGGAGATATCTTGACGCAGCTCATTTGACTTCACCCGGCTTAGAAGTCAAAACGTTTCTTCCATTAGTGTGAATATAAGTGGATTTTTCAGAACACAGACCAGGGTTGTACATGTAGTTAAGCGCCGGCTGCCGCCGAAATTCGCCGGATGAAAAAGCGGCGAGCGCCGGCTGGATTTTTAGCCGGCGATCGCTTGGCAAAGCAGAACGGGCTCTTCCAAGGTTACACACTTACAGTGTCACCACCTTTGAGCCGCCTCATTTCAGGCAGCAGCATAATTTCTTAGCTACATCCCTGATCGACAGACCCCAATAAACTTTGAGATCATTGTTGTTTGCGTGCTGTGCCAGTGGCTTTAAATTTTCAGCTCATCCATACTAGTGTATGACCAACCCCCGAATTAAGCGCCAGGTTTATAACCTCCTTTATAAATCCGTCACATAATAAAGCAGTCTGACTATGTGCTAATACTTATAACGTCTCTCTCACCCTCAGGGATGATCTACGAGATGCGAACCTTCAATGTGAAATTTCTAGATTAAGAACAAAGTACCAAAACACATCCCTCGTTCTCTCTTGAACTGATATAACTCCACTTAGTCAAAAGCCCTAAGTTTAAAGACAATGCAACCAACGATTTTTCATGAAACAAGTTGGTTTGATGCATTTTAACATATTCTTTTTGTTTGCCTCTTGAAAGGTGTTCTGAGTGTCCGAGAGGCGAGGTTACGATCGATATTCATTTTTGTAAGAGGCCTATTCAGACACATTTGTTTCAGTTGAAATAATCTGGATTATCTCAAACCTACTTTCAATTTTAGCGAGAATTTTAGCAGAAATTTCTTAAAGGGACATTTTTTTTAGTGCTTAAAGATGGTTTTCTCAAATAGTCATCAAACAATAGACCCCTGGACATGCAGTAGATCATTTAATAACCGGAAACCTTCCAAGCAAGTGCATTTCAAACAAAAACGATTATTCCTTGTAACTCGTACGTAATTTTGTTACTCACCTCAAAAATTAAAGAGATAACTCCACCCGATAGTCCAAACAAAAGAGGAATCGGCTATTCAGGTATTCAGTGCGGGGACAATTGTGTGATCTGCGGTGAACGAAAGGAAATTGTATCAATTCTTGGTCGTCTGCACTAATCATTGGGGCGGAGCTTTCAACAGGATTGCGTCAAACATGGAAGGGAGACTGCCCACAAAAACTACCGACTTGTCTTACAAACACTTGAAAAACTTTTAGAAAAGGTACCTTAGAATATATGGAAAACTCTCGAAACTTAAACAGGACGTCATAGTTTCAAGTCATAAGTTGCAGAAATTTAAATAAGAATTATATTTCTTATCTCGATACTTTTTATAACAGATGGCGAGCGAATGTCCCCCACGTCATACTAAGTTTTAACCGTTGGGTTTATTTTTAGTACTTAGCCAGCCAAACCCCGAAGTATTCTCCAATCTTCATCAGTTAAAACTTGCACCATTTTTAACTACGATTTGTTTTAAGGAATCAACAAAGTTATCATTCAAAAAAACGTCACTATTACCCTAGTAGATAAACTTTTCTGCTAGAAGTACAATCCTTCAAAAAGTAATCAATCAAAGTGTGTTGTTGTTTGTTTTTAAAATCACCACACGCGGTCCACAGTGGTTTGGCATGATGGATTGCAATTTCATTTTCTACGCGGAGTCTGCGGCTTGACTGAATTAAAAGATCGGCAGCTTTATTGTTCACATCTTTGTAAATTATATCAGAGATTTAAATACCAATAAACAGATTTATATCTGCAACAACCCCACCTACTCATCTGTTTCGTCTTATGTTTTTTTTTTTTTAACTTCCAAGACTATCTAATATCATTTGACACTACTTCTGGTTTATTTTTCATTGTAGAACATGGACACAAGCAAACTTTGACATAGTGGCTTGTTAGAGGAGGTCCACTTTAGCCTCAAACTCCAATTAACCGTCAATAACCGAGGAATAAAAATGCCTCTTAACTGCAATAGCGATCGAACACGAAAGCTATTAGCAGGAAGTTGTATCAAATTTGGTTTGCACGTTTGAGTAATTGAGGTTAATTATGGGGGTGGAGCCAAGTATAGATCAAGGAATCCGACATTATTTGTTTGAAGGGACGAGGTGCTTCACCTCTTGCAGGAAATCTGCTGTCAAGAACGTGTCTGTCAGAGAGCTAGCGGTGATGAGCACCCTTTAAATCTTATGATTCGAAGCCAAGAAATTCTATAAAAACTTAACAACCTATATGTGAAGGTTCTCTTTTCTTTTTTCCAAAAAGATGTTTTAGCTTTTATATTTTCGCGCAATTTTTTTCTTTTTTTTTTTTAGCGATCAAACCATTTTGGATGAGCAATTTTGTTTACTCTGATTCCGTCATCCTATGATAAATGTGACAAACAAGATTAAACTAAGTTATTTCCTTAAAGCGTCCAATAAGAATTGACTCTTCAACGAGAGATGGAAGAAAAAAAGTCTGTTGCTTCTGGTTTTTTTTATTCAAAAGTTCTATTTTCGATAAATGGCGATTTTGTTCATAGAAATAGTTGTAGATACGATGAATATATGAAGTTCATTTGCTGTGCATTGTCGTTTCTGTGGTTCTAAATGGCGAATTTGAGCGTTTTGGTGGGTTTTGCGTTGACTGTTACTCTAACTATGATGGAACGTAAATTAACAGTCAACGCAAAACCCATCAAAACGCTCAAATTCGCTATTTAAAACCACAGAAACGAGAATGCACAGCAAGTGAGGTAGGTTTACATTTATTTTGAGCCTAAACATAGACATCCCTTGATATAAGTTTACGGCGATATTACGACTCTTCAATATTCTCCCATACATTTCTATATATTTCAAACAAACGACCAGACACGCCGCTTGTGTGGGTTCCCTGTGATCTTTATTGACAATAGCTGAGCTTATCTAGCCCTTAACTAGCCTCCCGGTTAGCTCAATTGGTTAGAGCGCCGGATTGTGTTGTGCGGGAGGTCGAGCCCAGCCCGGACCAATACTCATGGTCTTAAAATAACTAAGGAGAATTTGCTACCTTTCAGTATAATATCACAAGATGAATAGATATTCTAGTCTTCTCGGATAAGGACGAATAAACCGTGGGCCCCGTCTCCTGCAGGGTTAAGGGTAGGAGACGTTAATTTCCCACGCACGAGATTACTGTGTGGTGGATGTCCTCCCCTGGGGTGGGATGTGTGGTTTTCTTGCTCGGCACATTATGATGTATTGCTAGTGGCCTAATCAGCCTCAACAACCCGCGTTGAAATAAAGTTACCAACCTACCTACGTGGATTGTGGTAAAGAAGTGGGCAAGAAAGCAAACAGAGTACTTGAAAACAAAAAGTAGATTTGAATTGCCGGCTTTAANCTAGCAAGTCAAAAATCTCCAGTTATTTGAGAATCACATATGTGAAACAAAAGTACCCCAGCCTCCTCAAAATTCACTGCGTGCTCGGCCAAGGGCCCTTTGCGTGCAGACATGTGCTCTATACTTGTGTAGCATTTAAATCGATATAATAACCATAAACAAATACTTCTTAATCAATCGAGTGTATTATCGATGGAACAACAGGTATTTCCAGTCAAAATTCTAAACCAAATAGACGCATTACTCTAAAATAACCTCGTTGAGCAAATTTATCCAAAAGTATTGCTAAAAAGTCTTGTTACGAAACAAACGTATCCTCACGCATGTTCGGATAGAATTGGATGAGAATAATTACTTCTGTTTTACAGTACAGTCTGTATTTCACAGATGTTGGACAATCCAAGAATGTAACAAAATACTTTGAAGTTGTTGACGCGGAACGCATAGTAGTACTTGCGTGTATTGACTGCACGCTAGAATGTTATTTCACGAAGCGGTTTATTTGTTGAACTCTTAGTTTTTTTACAACCGTGCCGAGCTCCTCTCTCTCTCACTTACTCACTCGGAAAATTACACGATTAACAGGTAACAAAATGACAACCGGAAGTGGTCACTACAGTACTTTGAAACATTACTGGATAAAGAAATGTCGAAGAAATAAGGAACTTATAAGTTGAGCGGTTTGACAAACCAAATTTGAATTCGAATTTACTTAAATTGATTCAATCAACTAACCTTTCTTCGCAGTCTTTGTCGAAATCCAAAATACTTCAAAGCATAAGTTGTCCTTTCTTTCGGCCCAAAAATGTGTAGCAAGAATCACAAATTTCGGTTTAAATTGATACAGTTATACACGATAACTGAATATAAATTTGAATTTTGTTTGACTTGGGGCGGACTTTCCGCTTGTACCCAAGCTCTCGCAGATCTTGAACTAACTACAAGATGGCGACGGGAAGTATGGCGTATTTCAAAACAGCATCATTTCTCTCGGATGTCGATGCAAAATGTCGAGTGTTTTTGATACGTCATCTAGATGAATTAGCTCAATCCTCGCTGGCGAGACCGTCTCCGATTTTTCTTTTGCACGCACCCAAACCACAGAAGCTGAAATTAAAGAAATAATCAATGTCGTCGACTGCTTCTCCTGACCCAGGAAAAGATCTGGTCGAACTGACTCCAGTTTTTCGTGGTGGGAAAGATATACAGAGGAAATCGCCAAAGGTATGTAATCATCAACTGTTATCAACAAGCTCTCAACAGGAGTAAGCTCCGATGTAATTTTTATTGGATTTTCTTTTAAACCTTTTTATTGCAAAGATTAAAACAATGAATTGTGATTAATTTAGAAAATTTCTATACTAGCTGTTAAGTCTTGATTTCGTCCAATCTTCGCCTTATGCCTCTCATGTGACGGTGTTATATTTCAATCTTACCTTCTGCAAGCCTTTTCAAGTTTTCAGAACTAAGAGTACTGGAAGTTGAAATCGCTACTCTAGCTGTAGAATCTGGTGGATGATTAAAAATTATGGTTTAATTGTTGTTTCTAGGTGTATGATTCAGAGCTCTGCATGTTAGCCTTACCTCCAGGGGAGCATCAGCTACTGACAAGAGTAACCCAATATCTGTTCTCTCATGGAATCATTCCTGTTGTAGTCAAAAGCCCAACTGAAGCTCTTATACACAGCAGGCACTCCAAGTTTGCAGTAATAGCTTTGCCAGACAGTGATCCTGCCCTTATCAGAAAAGTTAGGTTGGTTGCTCATCTGTGTTATTTACCAAAAATATCTTCAGGACTAATTGATACTCAAATATTGGGTATATTTTCCCAGACTTCAATGGTACATATAATCTGATAGATGTCATTCCTTATATACTGAAAGACTAAAACTTATCAGAGATTTATTTCTCAATCATAGTTGGAGTCCACAATCTTCCAAGGTAATTGACTAGGTAAATGAAATGCTTCATATTAAAGTTTTCCTTACAGCTTCAACATCCTGCCTATTTGCATTTTTTTGAGCACTCATAATGTCTTTGGAATGAAACAATTGTTTGTAGAATTTAGAATTAGAAGATTGAATATGCGGTGACTCAATAAAGTATTTCAGGCATTTGGGTTACCTTTCATTCCAGGTCAACTGATGGTATCAACTGTCAAACACCAGTGATTGTCATTTCAGTGGCTGATATTATACCAGGTAGGCTATAAGTATGTGTAAAGTATGACAAGCCCTTTTTCCTCTTTTAAAATTAGTAGATCATTTGAGAGATATGTAAAAGCAACCTTCAGATTCAAGAACTAGTTCAAAAACAAGTTGGAGATTTGACTTCAAATATTTAGGTAAATAATATGATAATTTGTACTTGTATAGCTTCATTATGGAATTTATGAGCCATAACTTTCTTCACTGTTTATGTTTAAAGCCATAAATAAGCTATTCCCAATTGAAAAAATTGTGAAACTGCCAATGTGTCTTTCTCTGTAAAACCTTGTCCTATGATAGTGATGGCTTGTGTGTTTTTCTCACCAAATTAAGGCAAGGGTGTATGTTCAAACTGTTTCACCCCTAGAATGTCTAAGACTAGCAATTTCGTGGGTGATAAAATCAAATGTGATCCCATAACTAATATAGTGACTTCAGAAAGTTACATATTGACTAAGTTGACAAAATTTGAAACTATGCCTACAACTTTCCAGCAAAATTTTAGCCAAAATATTCACTCCTGAAAAGACTTAGAAATGAAGAAACTTTTTTTCCTGGATTTGTTTAGTGCTGCCTTTCAAACTACAGCTCCCTGGTTTAAATGTGTGCTTTGAATTGTCATCTTGGTTCATCTATTTTCCTTTAACAGAAAGCACTTTGCACATGTTGGGTAGAAATGAGATCCAAGAAGCAATACACAGAACATCAGATCCTGAAAAGTTTGAAAATGATTTGATAACAGCCTTAAGTCATTTCATGGGGCAGACTCATCATACTGGTACGTGTCAGAAGTATTTTACTTTCATCTCAGTATGGCCTGTGAACCCCTAAATGACCATTCTGGAGGAGGCTGTCGCCAGAATTCTGTAAAACATTCATCAGAGATCTTTGTGATACATTTGATGATGAAGAAGGTGCTCAGGAGAGTGGCTCATTGTGCCAATTTTCTTATTTCTGCATGTCTTTATTGCTACTTAAATCTTCGTTAGAATCTTTAAATCATAAACAAAAATTAAAATGATAAATGTGCATTTATAAGAAGTAATTTGTATGTAACTGGGGACAACAGCCATCAGTTCATGTTGATTGCTTTCCTTTGAACTGACCCTAAATACAAGTTTACCCTGAATACAAGGTTAGTATTGAAGTATTTGGACAAAGCAGATGCAATTTCAAGGAAAGTATAATCCAAGATAATGTTCTAATGATTCTCCACAGTGGACCATGGGCTTTCAATGCTACCCATGCCGGTCCCAATCCATTGGAGTACTGCCCCTTTGCAGTATACCTCTGCTCCTGTGCCCCCATTTGAACATCCAGAAGGAACAGGTTTGAAAACTCCTTTAATAAATTATGTGCCAAGAAAGCCAATTCTAAGTGAAATTCAAGATTTAAGCAATGAAGGGCTTGTAGACCAAGTTCAGGAAGCTGGAAACCTATTGGTAAGTGGCCAGACTGTGACTCAAGTCGTGAAAGAAGGATCTGCTACTCCAAAAGTCCCTCTTGCTTTGGGACTAAGTACTCAAGAAAATTCAGAAGCTGTGTTACCTGGTATAGAGACACTTCTGAATGCCATTCAAGTGGTGGAAGGTGAATCTCCAGCGGGCAATAGTGAAGCTCCTTGTTTTACCAAGATCATAGCTCTTAATGCTCCTGACTGTCCTAAATCAAGGTTAGTTTTCATGTTGCACTTGTTGTATAAAGGAAGGAAAAACTTCGGTATTTTTCCCCCCTCAAAGATGAGCGCTCGGCTAAAGCAGTTTTTTCTAAAAGGAAAGTAATTTGCATACAATCGAATTGAAGCGGCCCCGTACTAAGAGGTCATCGTTTTGAGCGGTTGGTTGTCAAAGTCTCGAATTTTCCCTCCCTTGATTACTGTAATTTCACCTCTGTTTAGCAGTTACCGCTATTAAGCGGTCGTCGTCATCTTTGACCAAGTTCAAAGGGCCTGTTTGCATTGTCTTCCACCATTTTTTTGAAGTGCTTTCCCAAAGGTTGTACCAATATGTAATGTACGGGTTTGTCGATGCTACGGTTTGTGAACAAGATAATTCACTTAACAAACTTGGTCCATTAAAGCAACAGCTAAGAAAGATGATTTCTAAAATCAAAGCATCGGTTGCGATGAATTGATGTATGCTTTTAAATTGAGCACATATTTCCTTCAGATCTTGCAGCCTAGTACGTCGCAGAAGGACCCGCCGATCTTCAACGGAGTCCCAACCAAGTGATAAAACAACTAACTTGGATACTGAAGCAGAAGACTCACTTAGCGATAGCAAGAATCCATTGCCAGCTTGTTTGGCCGAAAAGAAACCTTACTTCCTGTCACTTGATAGCTACAGAGAGGCCTTGGCGGATGACCCGGACGCAAATCCTGTGGATAGGCACAATTCCAAAGAAAGGCACAGAAGGTGAAGTTTATTGTGTTTGATTTGCCATTGTATTGTCTATGTCTATGGATAGTACAAAATGATTTGTATGGTTAAAGGCCTAAAATAGTTTTCACTTGCAATACTACTGTTATTGTATTGCAGAATACGAATCACGAAAGCGGCTGAATTCTTCAAAGCAGCGATACCGGGCATGGAACCAAACATGGACAAAGCCACAGCTTTCCACCTGACAGTCCAGTACATGGTATTCCTAAGGAATGCACTAAGACAACAGGATCCAACCGTCATTCCCAAACTTCACGAGGTTTGTGGCGACGTTTTCATCTAACCTGTTCAAATGCTTTATGGAGTTGTCACTCCATTGCAAGTTCCCCCAACATTCTTTTATGTGCATGGAACTAAGCCTTCCAAGCTTCTTTTAATGGTGAAACTTGGGAAGCTAATTTGTTCGTACAGATTAAATCAGGGATTGGGCCCGCCCGTTATATATAACCAATCAAATGTTTTCATTCGCGCGCGTTTGGCACAAACGCGTCACCTCACCTACTATGCCCCACCTGAAATTGGGGATTATCCGAGCGAAGAAATGTGATGAAACTCTCCGTTTAAAATTTAATTTGTAATGGTAAGGAGCATTTGTTGTTGTTGTAGACGAAAGTGTTACTAATACAATAACAAAGAACGCTGCGGAAATGATCTGAGGGATAATAGATAAACTCTAAGTACAGCCTTATTCGCGGTAGGAGTTTCTTGATTTAAGATTTAGACCGTTCGTTAAAAGAATGTTAGTTCTCGAATAGATACTGTCCCAGCAAATTTTCAGGCCAAACGGATTGCATTGGTGAAGTGCAGTGGTGACTTAATTGTTAATGAAATAATTTGATCCATCGTTCATCCTAAATATCGCTTGTCTCTTGCAGACGTTCAAACAGGAATGGAGTGAGGTGTTCAACATGAATACCCCTTCTGATGCTGAATAAAATTAGCAACGCACAGCAATTCTCAGACGTCTTCTTTCTCCAAATAAAAGAGGAGTTCTTTTGATCTCCACCAGCATCCTTGGGAATGATTCAAGCAAGTAGTTTAAGTTAACTTTCTCTTCAGATCACCAAAAACAGAAAATAGAACAACGCACGCGAAAAATCGTGAATTATTTTTTTCTTTTTAATTTTTTCCAATTCAAAATACCCGCTCTTAATCTCCAACCTTTAAGATTCATAAATGTGTCAAATATGTTCTTTAATATCTTTTATGAGTGTAACAGTAGCTTTATCCATTGGTGGACGGCAATGATGTATATAAAATTTGTATAAAAACGATTGTGAATTTGTTCAGTAAAACATGTACGACAAATAATGGATTTAACACCACGATTTAAAATAAATCTTTCTTACAGCTTACTGCTGACTAGTGTCCCTCCGTGCGTCAGTTTTAAACAATTATTTATTCCTTCATATTTATGCATAATTCCATGAGTCTGCTCCATGCATTGATAATTATTGCATAGAAAAACAATAATAATAATAAATTAGAAATCCATACATGTTGCTTATTGGACTCGATAGATTCCATGAGTGTCCAAGACAGAATTTCTCCTTACACCGTCGATGCAATAACAAGCAGAAAAGTGAAGGGAATAAAGGAAAATATCAATTTGGGGATTCTTAATTGATCGAAAGCCAAATTCTCCAAACTAATATCCTAAGAATTGCATGGCAGATGTTAAGGAGAATTGTTAGTGAGATCTTGGGAGTGAAAGACTTCATCTTCTTAATTCTTGTTGGTTCTCGAAAATAATTGAGCTGCTTGATCTGACTCTCCTCCAAAATATGCAACTTAAAAAAATAATTTTCGCAATTTTCAATGTTTTAATATCCCACCCCTTGAGGTATCAAAAAGCAACCCTTTTCTAATCTCAATAGCGATCAAAGGCTTGTTAGTGTTTCATTCTCAATAATTACTTCAGTTTCTCTTTTTATGACAACACCATCAGTCTTTGAGGATATTTTTTTCATTGATTTCGTCATCACAGATCTCCTTCTCCGCTGACCAGTTCTTTTGTTTAGAACCAGTCCATCCATGTCGTCCATCATTTGTTCGAGGAACGCCTGGTCATTGGTTTCCATGGGAACGACAGAAATATCGCGCACCGCGCGAAACTGACCGCAGTTGTTCAAGTGCTCGTTCTCAAGACGGAAGAAATTCCAAATAAAACGCCTGAAACAAAATAATGTGATATCAAAAACACCGCCTTGAGGGAGCTACCTTTACGGATCTTCAGTTAAAAAACTTCTTTCACTCTTTTTAAATTTCAATTTGAAATACATACTCTGCGTCATCTTTCACTGTCTTTGTTCATTTTCAGTTTATCAATACCAAAGCAAAGTACTAATTTCAAGGTTTTCTTTCAACAACGGGAAATTCGTCTTACAATAACACAAGCAATTCAGTAATTCAAGCAATTCCAATAACGACAATAAAGTCAGACAAAATTTGATGCTGGAAAGAAGTCAATTAATCAGGATTATCACCCGTCCAGCCCCGCTAGCGCAATCCCATCGAAAACCATAGTGAAAGCTGACGTGTGCAGGGCCGGACGGTTTGACGTGAGCCGATTCGGAAAAAAGCCGTCCGGCCCCGCAGCCCTTAAGTCGCTTTGTTGCGAAAACTTAAAGGAAAACAGAAATGAGAAAAAAAGTTGCATTTTTTCAAGGAATTGGGGGCTCCCTGTTTAGCCGTTGTTTAGCAAAACCGCGTTCTAAACTATCTTCATTTTAGCCGAACCTTTTATCTGAACATTTATTTTTGTTACCAGTGTCAATAGGGCCAGAAACTAAGACTTGAAGGAAAGTTATTTAATCAAGTCAACCTTCTCATAGACCCTCATAACGAACAGACCACGCTGCGCCCGGTCCGTACCTCATGACCTCGAGCCAAATATTTTCCCGTACGGTCCTCTCGCTAGGACGAAGGGCTAACGCTCGAAACGTCAGCTTTTGTAATCGTTACGGTGGCCAATTTACCACTTCAACTTT